CATACATCAAGACACCGAACAGGCTGATAATTCATGGACCAAATCAAGCTGTGATAAGAAAAAATTTCAAGGATCAATTCAGGCTTTTTAATCATATTAAAAAAAGACCAATAGTAGCATTTTTACTTTAAATTAATAAAATAAATGATATATATATATATCATTTATATATCATATATATATATATATATATATATATATATATATATATATATATAATTATAAATAAATCATGAAATCAATAAAAAGTGGGTGATAAAATAAATACATTCAAGTAATTAAAGTGCAAATGAAACTATAGCTTTATAATCTGCTGGTTAAGAATCACTGCTCTAGATTACAGTTAATATTGAATCTCTTAAACCTGCCTTTAATGCCTGGCTATTGATAAGGTGAAGACCATGAGGCTACTTTTAGAAACACCAAAAAAATTAAAGTTAATCCCAACTCCAAAGTGCAATCATAAAAGGTTGGGAAGAAAACTGGTGAATTCTCTAACTATTCCATAAGGAACAATCATGGATTCAGTTATATAAAAATTTATTGATTTCTGATTTCGGCAAATAATTTAATCAAATATTATTTGACCAGATAATGTGTACAACAAATAGCTTGAAATGATTTAAAAGCAAATATGCCCCAATTCCAAATTTGTTTCTCAGACATAAACTCTAAGCCAAACTGTGATATCTTACTGTTTTATCTTTACTTGAAGCAGACATGCTTTTATCGGATGTTTGGAGAACTCCAAAGCTGGATTCTGTGAATTTCCTTTGTCATGATCTGTTTATGACTCATTTTATGACTCAGTATTATGCAAGAGTTTAACAACAACTAACAAATCAAGTTTGTATAATATCAGCCTTAGTGTTAGAGCTTCTGCAGGGCACTTTGTTCATAAAGTAATCTGAATATATGTTGATGATGACAGGACTTAGAGAACTTTTACTGTCATTTTGTAGACAGTGTATAAAAAACAAAATCTGGCTTTGAACAGCTTTCAGACAGTAAATGAGCAGCAGCTTAGCAGTAAAATGAACATTTCCATTGCATAAAGTGCATCAGTGATCGAATGTAAACAGTGTGGGAGAAACAAAATGGTGCAAAAACACATTGATATGGAAGTTTAGAGCATTTGAAGACCATTATATATGATGCAAATATGAAGTATTTTGGTTTGGGATTATCAGGTTATCAGAGTCTGTAACATGATGTGACTTGAGTTTTATTTTTTAACAGTTCATCAGTGTGATGGCGGTGGGGAAGAAGCTGCTGCAGAACCTGCTGGTCCTGCATTGAATGCTGTGAAGCCTCTTAGGTGGGCTCTCCTCGTCCTCAGGAAGTCCAAGCGCTTCTGGGCCCTTTGCACCAGTGAGGTGGTGTTTCCAGTCCAGGTGAGGGTGTCTGTGATGAATGTGGTGCTGCTGACCACCTCTACAGCTGAGCTGTTGATGAGCAGTGGAGCGTGGTTAGGCCGCTTCTTCCTGGAGTCCACCATGATCTCCTTGGTCTTCTCCACCTTCAGGATCAGGCTGTTATCTCTGCACCACCAGCTGCTCCACCTCCTCTCTGTAGTCCAGGTCGCAGCCGTGGTGTCGTCTGCAAACTTCACCATGTGATTGGTGGTGAACCTGGGGACGCAGTAATGTGTCATCAGAGTGAACAGCATGGGGCTCAGGACGCAGCCCTGAGGGCAGCCTGTGCTTAGACTGATGACATCAAAGGTGTTCTGTCCGACCCGTACTGACAGAGGACTGTTTGTTAGGAAGTCTCAAAACGATTTAGGGGATTAATGCTAAAGTAAGAGTTGAGAAGGAGGCAGATTTTCATCCTAATCTATCACTTCAGATGCTCATGCTTTTGCCTAGTTTATCATGTTTATATTTAATAGACACAATGGTTGGATTTAGGTATTCCTTCCACACCAAGAAGCAAAATGGGGATTTTAAACCTAGTTATTAGTTAAAGTTATGTAGTCAAACACACATTTAATCAAAACATACCTGAAAAATTGTGTGTTTGTTGACAGAAGGGCTATACACTAAAACAGGGGTGCCCAAGTCCAGTCCTCAAGAGCTACCATCCTGTAACTTTTATATGCATCTCTTCTCTAGCACACCTGAATCTAAAGCCTCAATCCCCCATTAGCTCATCAGAGGCATGGTAACGAGCCACTCATTTGATTCAGGTGTGTTAAAAATGGTTGCATGAAATACGTGCAGGATAGTAGCTCTTGAGGACTGGACTTGAGCACCCCTGCACTAACATGTACATCAATAAATGATTGCAATAAGCACAAAGTAAATATGCAGCATGAACGAAAGCAGTGCATTTCTGGTCTGCTGCTATTTCAGGGTGTGTCAACACCAGGTGTGGCTGAGAAGTGTCTACATTGCTGACTGGCAGGTTAGTTGCTGCTCATTACATGAGCCTTGTTTTTTTTTTTTTTTTTGATGAAAATGTTTGAGGCAATAGTCAGATGTTTAATTAAAGTCTTTTTTATTCACTGAATAAAGAAACTCCATGAAGTTTGCGGCTTTAAAACTTTCTTGTGGGTTTAAATTTTTTTTTTGAGGAACCTCTTGGTTATTTCATAAGGATATTAGAAGTGAGTCAGAGTTGCTTGACTGGCCTTTGAAATGCACATTACTGTACAACGATCCTTCTTTAAACTTAACTCCCAGTCTGTACGAACATTTCATGCACTCATGTGACCTGGAGGAAAAATGTTTTTATGTAAGTGATGATTTCCCAGCACCGAGGCAGAGGCAGGGCAAGACTAAGAGTAATTATACCATTTGTTTATCAGCTATTTACCAATCATTCAATAGTTTATTTTTAGATCTGGAACATTTTAGAACAAATCAGTTTTAAAGGTTGTTGATGATTGGAACTTCTGGGATAAAGTCAATTTGACTCCCTGTCTTATTTAACCAGTCAATCAAATAAAAATAAAAAACTACCTAAACATCATCATTTTGGGATTTTTTTTTTTTTTTTTTTACAATTGATGAATCACAGTATAAAGGTTTGAACATAAAAAATATGGAAATGATTGAACACTTGGTCCTCTGACAGAGATCCATGATCTCCTGCTTTTGTTATGCTTCTCTTTGACAGACGTGCTTCCTACACACGACTTAAGTGGAAAAAGATTAACTAGACTTTGACCAACAGTTTTTTTTAAAGCCAACACCAATATCGGTTCTTTTGACATTATTCTAACCATCGATATGTGCTGCCGATATTTTGGGGCCATTTCTTTGCACCAACATCTCTTTTTCTTCCTCGATTTACATGAGAAAAAAAATGACACATTGCTAACAAATGTCACACCTCTCAAATGAAACAAAGAACGAATTATCCACAAATCCGACAAAACATTAACAATGGACAGCAAATGAAGGAGAGCATCAATGCATTCGCTTCAGGTGATCTAAACAAATGGCTGCAATAATGACCTGCCAAAAGCCTGTAAGTATCTGCAAATATCGATGCAGCATAAAAAAATTAAAATATCCTTATAAAGCTGAAAATATACGAGTGTACTAGTCCAACTCATGCACTTGGAGTACTTTGGAGCAGTTTGGGGCTCTAGGATTTCAAAGGAAAACTGACATTAGTTAAACATAGCAGATCGTTTTTGTTACTATTACTATTTTCAGTTTAAATAAAAAAAAGGTAAACGTTACAATAGCCATCAATTATAAACAGTTAAGAGAAAATGTATTAATGATTAATAGATTCAGGAATGTTTGATAATCATTTAGAAATCACATCTAAACCATTTATAAAAGGTAACTAGATCCTATATCCCTGACCCTGACATCGACGGACTTGAAAGCTGTCTCAACCTAACTTTTATTTTCAATGTACATTTTTGATCAATCATCTATTTACCTTTGAAAAATGGTTTAGTTTCAGTTTATCAATTAATCGGAAAATAATCAAATATCTATAAATCAATAATAAATGGTCTCCGCGTCATTTATAAATAATGGTTTTGATGGTTATTGTAAAGTGTAACAAAAAAAAAACATCTAATAATGGAAACTGTTTTTTTTTATTTTATATAAAAAATAATAACAATAAAAAAAAACAAAAAAAAAAGAACAGGAAACAGGTTTTTAATTTATCGAATGTATAAATGCAGAGGAATCCTATGTTTTCTCTAATCTGAAAATCCCCTTCAGTAAGGAAACTTCTAAGTTAGCCTTTTCTGTCTTCAAAAATAGGTTGAGTCATTTTGGAAAATGAAGCGGTTGCAACACTTAAGGGGTGATATTTAAAAACTACAGTATAAAATGTTGATCTTTTTGCATTTCTGCACTGATTGAAAAATTGCTGCATTTTGTTTTGTGTCTTTGAAGTGTTCATCAAGCCATAAAGCTGATTGACAGGCTGGAAATGATTTAATCTAGAAGGAATCCAACAGAACATGCTGGACTTAGTGAGCATGCTTTAGTTCAGGTTTGTTAATTAACATTCTCCACCCAGTGAAGGCCATACTGCACCTTGCAGGTCGATCCTCACTTTCCACAAACGCAGCAAAGGAGACAGACAGGTAACCTTCTAGCACGTCTATTTCTTTAACTTTATATCTTAACGTAAAAGAAAATCACTGCAATGCATTCCTTTATATCTATAAACATTATAGATATAAATAGAAATCTCTAATATTTAATATGTTTCAAAATTAATGGCGTAAGGAAATTAATTGGATTTAGAGATTATTTAAACTGTTCAGATTTTAACATGTTTCTCATGTAATTCTGTAGGAGAAATGAATTCATACCATAAGGTCAATGATTTATTTTGCATAAAGATGCATTTAAGGAAAAAATTAAAATGGTGATTGGTTACTGGTTATAGACTGGAGAGTAGAGGTATATTCGATAGGAATTTTATTTTTCGTGAGGAAAATAAATGATTGTTAGTAGAATAAAAAAAAACAGCTTGCCTAACAATGTTTTCCACTGTTTAGGATTTCAGACTTTTCATCTTCATTTAAAATGTTGATTAAGTGAAATAAGGAGAAGAAAAATAAGCAGAGTTTGTCAACCCACAATGGGGGGGCCAAGAACTTTGTCACAAGTTCTGCTTCTCTCAGCGTTTGGCATCGGTGAGCATAACCAAGAGAAAGCAACTAAACATAAAGTATTTTGAGGACAAAAGGTAAAAATTGTTGATAAATCTGTTTTTGTTTCTGCAGTATTTGCCACATCCGTTGCCTCTGCAGCCGTAAGTTTTTGCCAGTTTTTTCTATTTCTTTGTAAAATATGAATGTGTATAATATTTTTAAATTAATACTCTATGAAAATTCTGTTTACAGTCCAACACAACACAAGGTATGAACAGAATTTTCTTAATGTATCAAAGTTAACTTATTTTTAGCAGCAAATATAAAATAAGAAATAAAACTGTTCTAATGTTCTTACTGGTTCAGGTGTCCTTCCACCTGAAAACAGGTGAGTCCCCCCCCAACTGATCATGATTTTTTATTTATAAATATATATATATATATTTTTTTTTCATTGAATCATATTTTTTTTCTTCCACTCCAAGCCCTTTTCCTCAGGAATCATGCCAAGGAACAAACCTTCTGGACCCCAGTCGCAGCGTAGGCATCCTTCTCACCAACTGTTGGTAACTGGCTCCCTCTTGTGGCTAAATGGCAACATGAACCCATCATATTGCTGTTCTTTCACATTTGCAGATATTTGCAGCAGTGGATTCATTTATAGGGGAGCTCTCTTGTAAACGGAAGAAAAATGCAAGCCTATCAGAGGACTCGTTCATGGAAGTGGAAAGAAACATCAGAGGAATTGTTGAGTCGTCTGTAAAAGTCTTTTCAGACCTGGTACTTAAGTTAATTCTTTCTTTCTTCAACATTTCTTCATATATCTTAGTATTTCAATCTATAGCACAGTAATCTGGTGAACTCACTTTTTATGAAAATGTGCCCCAAAGATTCTCTAACACTTTTTTCTGTATGAGACAGGAGACATTTCTATCAGGTGTCAAATATAAACTTTTATTTCTAACAGGGGACCAACCAATCTGGCTCTGATGTTTTGGAACAAATTGGAATCTTGGACAGCCTCAATGTGGAAAACTACAATGATCCCGTGTTCATCAGGCTGTGGTTCTCTCTAAAGATGACGTCTCTCTTGCCTTTAGTCACTGAAAGGTTTCTGATCCAGCTTGGCAACAAAAACTTCAGTTGCGGCTCTTTCCAGGAACTGTAAGTTCATTAACGAGGCCTGTAGTCAATAGTTGTGATAAATCTAATTGAAACTATTGTTTCCTTGTTTTAGTCATCACTGAAAAAACAAAGGAACCAAAAAGAAAAAACTGCCAAACCATAAGAATTTCTTTTGAACAGAAAAAAACAAGAAAAAACCAACAGGGGGAGGGAACCTATGATAATATTGCTGTGAATGTCATTGTTGTACAGAGAGAGAAAAAAAAAAGAAGTCATACAAGCATATTTTACATTCAGAACCAGTAGTATTGTATTAACTGAACCAGTTAGATCGGAGGTCTTCAACAGGGGGCCCGTGACCCTTAGGGGGTCCACGGAGGTACTGTATGGGGGTCCCAAAAGTTTTGTTTTTTAAACTTTTTTTGTACTCCCCCCTGCAATTTTTTCCACTAATTGAAGTCTTTTAATCCACAGTAAAATTAATTCAACACACTGTAGTAAACATAAATAGATGCACCGTTTCATTCACAACACCTGTCCCATCAACCAGGAAGCAGAATCAGAAATACTTTAGGTTTAGATTTAGGTTTAGGTTACTTAGGTTCAGAATGGAGAACGATATTAAATTAAATGGTAAAAAAAAAAAAAAAAAAAAAAAGTTAAGAATGAAACAAAATTTTCCAAAAAAACAACATCCTTCTGTCTGGTCAGTGCAATAGCTTCACACTGAAAATGGTTGTTCCATCTGGGTTAGACAAAGCTCATCATGTTCTGAATGTACAAGAAAGAATAACATATAGAAATGAAGGGGTCTAATTTTTGACATGTTTTAGGGTGCAGTCTTTCAGTGAAGAACTTCAGAACTCTTCAACAATAGAGAAACAACAAATCTACAATAACTTCCTCCAGGTCTATCTGACCAGAACCAACTTGGCAGGTAAGAAAAAGCAATGGACGGTAAATAGAAAAGTTCATTTATTTTTTTGTTTTGTTCAAAACACAAACAGAAGTAACATTGTTCATGGTCCAATGTTGCAGCACACAATAAAAGGAACTAAACCTGATTCTGCACATAATGAGCTGTAAGCCCCGCCCCCAACTGTTTTTTCCCATGAGAAATCTTCCATTTGACCTCTGACAAAAGGTGTCAGTAAATCAGTATACTGTATATACAATGTATATAAGTATATTACTAAGTTCCTTACATGAGTATTTATTTTCTGACTTTTAATACTTACATATAGTCACAAATATCTTTTCTTCCAACTTTTTACTTTCTCCCAAATCCCTCGTTACTCCTATACACATTAATAATGACATGATGTGACAGCTGCATCGCTGCAGGGAAAATCAAGATGGAATCTGTCCAATTGGAGCCCATTTAATCTATATAAAAACACTGATAAAGATGTGGATAAAGGGTTGTGAAACATTGTAGATGCCAGGTCAGACTCAGATGCAAGACATTCCCCGTTTGTTAGATTATAAATGTACATCTTGATTATGGTTCAGCTTCTATATCAGTTTGAATGCTATATGCAGCTTTAATGTTTTGAATACCAGAACTCTAAAATTATTTAGCTGCTCGAGCATTACTTTTCTGTTTAATTTACATTATCCTGTCTGAAATTTAAATGTCTAAAATTTAAATTTCTAGAAGAAAGGAGTTTTAGAACTTAACTAAACCGGGCGAGTTTTTATAGGTTCTCTTTACCAAAACAAAAGGCAGAAGATCTTCTGTCTATAGAAATGTCTTTTTTTCTTTAAGAAATTCATTTTTAAAAGGTATATTTGCATAATTTAAAGCAAAAACGTATTTATATATTTCTCTTTGGTACAATTTAGAACGTGTGTTTTTTTACTTTTACTTAATCAAAATACCTCAACCGATACTTAATGTATTCTTTAACCATATAGTCTTCTTTTAAACAGGCATCTTTTACTTAAGTAACTTGCACAAGACTGAACACCAGAATTGATTTAAAAAAAAAAAGAAAAAAAAAAGAAATGCCTTTCAGGAATACGGATGGTTTTTAGTGTAAATCTAGTCTGAGGTGTTACCGAAAAGATCTCTACTTAAAGTACGAGGGATCAAGATTTATATGAAATTTGTTTCTTCTTTGGTTACTGTTAGGCTTTAGGTCCCTCTTTTTTAATCAAGTTTACTTTCCTTGGTCAATTGTGTGTTTTATTTTGCTACTTTCACTTGTGTTAGTTATTTCTTCTTTAAATGTTTTTTGTTTGTTGAAATCGTACATTTTTTTTGCACAATATTTTGATTAGTGCCTGTTTCTTTGAGTGAGCTTGGCCCTTTTCTTCATCTTTTTTTCTCCTTTTAAACTGTTAGCTGTGTGTATGTTGTTTACTGTCGTACTGTCGTTGGGGCAGCTGCAGCTTAGCAAAGGCTCTGCCCCTCATTGCGGGATTGGAAGAGAAATGCTGGCATTTGTTTCCCACAGTATCTGCATATTCCTATATTTTTTAAGTCCTACAAAAATTAGTCAGTTGTAATTTTCAAACTTTGTCTTTTAACTCATAACGTGTAAAAAAAAAAAAAAAAAAAAAAAAAAAAAGCCTCTTTCTTAACCACATGAAAAACCCAGCGATAGTTTAGATTACATTGTATTATTTCATATTAAACTTATATTTTAAAGCCTTGAATGGCCTCTCTGAGCTGCTGCACCCCTACACTCCCAGCCGATCAATCAGGTCAGCTGATCAGCTGCTCCTGAATGTGCCTAAAGCAAGGCTTAAGCTCAGAGGGGATCGAGCGTTTTTGGTTGCAGGTCCAAAACTTTGGAATGGATTGCCGCTGCACATTAGACAGGCCACCTCTCTGTGTCATTTTAAAACTCTTCTTAAAACCCACCTCTTTTCTTTGGCTTTTGACACCATGTAGAGTGTTGATTTTATGTATACACGTGCATATTTTTATCCTGTGCTGGCAGTGCTTTTATTTTTTTTATTTACTTTTATTTATTTTAGTTATTTTATCTTTTTTGTGCAGCAATTTGGAAACCTTTTAAATCGTGCTATATAAGTAAAGTGGATTGGATTGGATATATATTCATGTTTTAAATATCTTATTATTTAATTTCAAACAGATCCTGGATGCACAGAGAATGTAAAAGGAAGTAAAGAATGGGTGGAGAAAAACTTCAAGCATTTTGTGGTCTTTGCAACACTGCAAGAACTTAAAAGTATCAACAGCAATTTTTCAGCAGTAAGTAAAGTTCCACACATAAAACTAATTTATCTTTTGCAGAAAAAAAGACATATGAGCATAAAAGATTAAAATCAGTCTTCAATATATTTTAAATAAATAAATCTATGTTGCCACAGACAGATGTGCTGGAAAAGCTCACACCCAGACAGAAGGCAGAGCTAATACTTGACACAGAAAGCGATGCTTTGGAGGATGTCGAAATTGTCAGAAAAGTTTTCACAGATGTGGCAGCATCTAATGAAGAACTCGGAAATTTTTTCCAGGCTTTTTCGCAGCTAAGAAAAGAGGTAAGGACTGAAACCTGAACCAAAATTTCCTATGTCTGGTATAATTAATAAAAGTGATTTCAAAGATAAGAGGATAAAATAAAATAAATCAACACAATTAGGAAATGAAAGAACATGTCTATGTCCGAAATGCTTAATTGCTGATAAAGATAAAAAAAAAAAAAAAAAACATAACTGTGAAGAAATTATGATTTTTTTCCAGGTTTAAAAAGCTGCTAAATTATGATTTGAATTATTATGGAATCTTTAGCATTTTATGAGGTTAAGAACCCTTGCTGAGCTACAAATGGGATTCTTTGCTTTGCAGAGAAACACCACCTTCATCCAAAATCAAGCTGTACGAGAGACCATCTTAAACCTGACTTTGAACAGCCTCGCTCCAACATTAGACTCCTTTGAAGCAGGAGACTACAAGCTGTGGTTCCAAGTCTATTTGCTCCCTGTAACAGCAAGCCTCCGCCCTGAGAGCCTTCGGGTGATACCTAGCAACATCAGCTGTGAATCCTACAAAGCTATGTAAGACATCAGCCTTAAGATAATAATTTGAATCTTCAGTTTTAATCCACAAACAAACCCTGGTTCCCTATCTGTCCCAATAATACCTTTTTTTTCCCATTCTTCTCAGTGTCACGGGTCTAAGAGAAAGCCTAAAATTCCTTCCACTGCCCATATCAATGAATGTGAGATCTAGCTTGGAATTCCTACAGAAGACCTTCCCAGGTATGCATTGAGAAGACTTTGCTGACATCTTTCCTCAGAAAAGCCTAGTACCACTGATGGCTTAAAATGCACATTGATACTATATCTGAATTCAATTGTCTTTTCAACAGGCTGTGCAAAACGTGATTCCTTGACGGTAAGCCCAAGTTCAAAGCTGTATTTCACAGAATACACACCCTACATCAGTTTCATTTCACAGACTAGATGGTGGCACATTACTTTTATAAGACAAGTGATAGCCAGATTGAATTATGTTGAGTGGTATTTGACACTAATCTCATGATTGTTGTTTGTTTGTCCACAGTGCAAAGAGACACATGTTGATGGTAAGTCTGCTGAATATCACTGGTTTATAAATTGAGAATAAAAAAAACAACAAATTTCTCAAAAACCCTTTTCTGATTCACAAATTTTACTGTTTTTCATAGAAATGCTCATCTGCTCTGGAGTGAACAGGTGAGAGGAGGACTGTCTTATCTGATACAAATACATCAAGTAAGTTTACAAAATGTAACCAAGGCTGAAATGCTATCACTGTTTTGCACAGCACTCAACTCCAGCAAACACTGCAAGATGACAATTCCACTTCAGGTGTATGCAATTTTACCATCATTGAACATGCCTGTACCACGGTAAGATGTTCATGTGCTAGCAGTAAATCCAAGGCAACATTTTGCCCTGGCTGTACTATATATTGGTAAAACCTCAGAAACTCAAAGCTTGCTTCATTTCTTCTTTAGCCATCACAACTCACAGCAGGCAACTTGGCCAGTCTCCTGAAATGCTCTGTAGAGAGCAACATGCCAGATAAGGTGGAAGTTTGGCAGCTTCTTTTCCAAAAAACTTCTCCCGTGCTCCGCCAGGCTCTGGGCATGTTCGCCACCATGGTATATCCAGTGGGATCATTTCAGAATACTATTGCCTTTTTAGTGTCATCTCTACATCCAACCAATTTTTGCTCAATTTTTAGGCCCCCAACACCATGAACTCAGCCTATTCCAATTCTCTTGATGCTCTGGGAGAGGTGGTGGTCAAAAACTTTACTCAGGATCAACTGAAGAGTGAGGATGCAATTAGAAGGGGGTTTCAGTTTGAGCTCCGTCCGTTCCTGGCCTCTCCATCAACAAATTTCCTCTCCTGCCTTGGCACATACAACTTCAGTTGCCAGACATATCAGATTGTGTAAGTACACGCAAGACATTTTGCATGATCATGCACAATATCTACAAGAAATTTGTAAATTCATTTGATGTTGAAATCCTTTGCCCAAAATTTTTAGCATTGAGGCATTCAGCAACCAAAGCCACCTGATGGACGACGACAGGAAGCGACTAGTCTTAACCCACTTCATCAAACCGTTCCTCTCCAGAAAAGATTTGCCAGGTAAAGACAAGCTCTCAGGTCATACATGGTAAACAACTGATTGCAATCCATTAAAACGAGAAAGTGTTCTGACCTCCTGATATTTTTGCAGACCCAGGCTGTGTGTCATCTGCCAATGGTAGTCAGCTCTGGCTACAGACCAATCTTGGAATTTTCTCTGATTTTGCAAGCATAGAGGATTTGCAAGCCCTTAACCCCAACTTCTCCAGCGTGAGTAGCTAGCGGCTTTGACTGGTTTTGTAAGGGCTCAAGACTTTTCTGCCCTGAAGTGTTACAAGAACTTCTACCTGAATCCTTTTCCTGTACTTTTGCAGGAGCAGGTCCTGTCAGAACTGTCTCCCTCCCAAGTAGCACAGTTACTGCAGAGCTCAGACATCAGAAATGACACAAAGTTAATCGATCGAGTCTTTGATCGACTGGAGAAGGGAGAAGCTGTTGAAAATGTGGATGAATTCTTTACACAGCTTACCAAGCAGGAGCAGGTAAGCTAACCAATCAAGTGGAAAAACAAGCCCCATTTTGAAAATTCAAATGCTTATATGTTTCATCCAAGTTATGATATAGAAAAGAATTGATAGAACTTTACCCTTTTTGCAACCTTTGAAAAATACTGTATGAGGACTTCTAATATAGCAACTTAGCGGTCTTTGATCTCTCTCATTTAATCATGTGTAAGGCCCCAGAGTTCCAAGCTGACGTGAGGGATCGCATCATGAACAGGACCTACATGATCATCAGTCCCTCTTTCCAATTGTTCACTGCTGTGGACTTTAAAGCTTGGTTCCAAGTCAAACTGGTCCCTGTCCTTGCAAGTTTCACTCCAGAAATGCTCCGAGGTGTAACTACCGGCATGAACTGCACAAACTATCGTATCATGTGAGTTGCATTTGAAGAACAACCAAGACTTGAATTCTCAAAAAAATAAAGAGTACTCTTAAGGAACGGTGTCTGAAAGATTTGTGCCAATCTTTGCAGTGTGAGAGGAATGGGGAAAGTTGTCACTGCCATACCTCAGCAAAGACTACAGGCAACCGTTGATGTTTTACTGAAATACCTAAAAGACTCTGCTGATGTCATCAACCAAAAAGGTAGGGCCGTCTTCAATACTCTGGTCACTTTGCCATAGCTTTGTAGAATGCAAAAAAAGCCTTAAAAGAGTTATTGAACAAAAAACAGACACATTTGAAGAAAAAAAATGTTCAAATATGCATACATGTTCCTCAGTTTGCAGACAAGGAATCGAGAGTGATGCCCAATGGATTGAAGAAAACCTGGGTCCATTTGGTCAATACGCAACATATTCTGAGCTGAAGTTCTTCAACCTGTCTCAGGTGAGTGAACAATCCTACTCCAGATGTTTGTCAAAAGCAACAGCAAAATCTCTACTTTGCGGCAGGTACACACACTGGCTGCTGTGACAAGCGGAATAGAAAAGAAATGAACATGTTCTTTTTCATTCTGTCATCAGGCAGCGCTTGTGGATGTTCTTTCCCCCGCTCAGAAAGCTGAGCTACTGACAGATCCAGAAAGTGGTGCTTTGGAAGATGCCTCCCTTGTGAGGGAGGTCCTTACAAACCTGACAGAGTCCGGGGATACAGAGCAGCTTAGTCAGTTTTTCCAAGAGTTCACAACGTCCCTGCAGAAGGTAAATGCCAAAGTCAAATTTCACCATTTCTCCCAAAGTATCTCCTTTTAAAATATCTTTGAAAGTAAATGCCATATAACTCCTGCTTTGGACTTATGCTGTGTGTTTCAAAGAGGTCAATTGTAAACTAAAAATCGTATGTTTCGAATGGCTGTCGCTAAATGATGGCCAAGAAATCTTTTGTCCTGGTTGTCATAAAACCTGAGTCTGAAGCTTTGCCACAGACCTTGCTGATAGTCTCTAGGATTTTATAAGAACCCTTGCTGAGCTACAAATGGGATTCTTTGCTTTGCAGAGAAACACCACCTTCATCCAAAATCAAGCTGTACGAGAGACCATCTTAAACCTGACTTTGAACAGCCTCGCTCCAACATTAGACTCCTTTGAAGCAGGAGACTACAAGCTGTGGTTCCAAGTCTATTTGCTCCCTGTAACAGCAAGCCTCCGCCCTGAGAGCCTTCGGGTGATACCTAGCAACATCAGCTGTGAATCCTACAAAGCTATGTAAGACATCAGCCTTAAGATAATAATTTGAATCTTCAGTTTTAATCCACAAACAAACCCTGGTTCCCTATCTGTCCCAATAATACCTTTTTTTTCCCATTCTTCTCAGTGTCACGGGTCTAAGAGAAAGCCTAAAATTCCTTCCACTGCCCATATCAATGAATGTGAGATCTAGCTTGGAATTCCTACAGAAGACCTTCCCAGGTATGCATTGAGAAGACTTTGCTGACATCTTTCCTCAGAAAAGCCTAGTACCACTGATGGCTTAAAATGCACATTGATACTATATCTGAATTCAATTGTCTTTTCAACAGGCTGTGCAAAACGTGATTCCTTGACGGTAAGCCCAAGTTCAAAGCTGTATTTCACAGAATACACACCCTACATCAGTTTCATTTCACAGACTAGATGGTGGCACATTACTTTTATAAGACAAGTGATAGCCAGATTGAATTATGTTGAGTGGTATTTGACACTAATCTCATGATTGTTGTTTGTTTGTCCACAGTGCAAAGAGACACATGTTGATGGTAAGTCTGCTGAATATCACTGGTTTATAAATTGAGAATAAAACAAATTTCTCAAAAACCCTTTTCTGATTCACAAATTTTACTGTTTTTCATAGAAATGCTCATCTGCTCTGGAGTGAACAGGTGAGAGGAGGACTGTCTTATCTGATACAAATACATCAAGTAAGTTTACAAAATGTAACCAAGGCTGAAATGCTATCACTGTTTTGCACAGCACTCAACTCCAGCAAACACTGCAAGATGACAATTCCACTTCAGGTGTATGCAATTTTACCATCATTGAACATGCCTGTACCACGGTAAGATGTTCATGTGCTAGCAGTAAATCCAAGGCAACATTTTGCCCTGGCTGTACTATATATTGGTAAAACCTCAGAAACTCAAAGCTTGCTTCATTTCTTCTTTAGCCATCACAACTCACAGCAGGCAACTTGGCCAGTCTCCTGAAATGCTCTGTAGAGAGCAACATGCCAGATAAGGTGGAAGTTTGGCAGCTTCTTTTCCAAAAAACTTCTCCCGTGCTCCGCCAGGCTCTGGGCATGTTCGCCACCATGGTATATCCAGTGGGATCATTTCAGAATACTATTGCCTTTTTAGTGTCATCTCTACATCCAACCAATTTTTGCTCAATTTTTAGGCCCCCAACACCATGAACTCAGCCTATTCCAATTCTCTTGATGCTCTGGGAGAGGTGGTGGTCAAAAACTTTACTCAGGATCAACTGAAGAGTGAGGATGCAATTAGAAGGGGGTTTCAGTTTGAGCTCCGTCCGTTCCTGGCCTCTCCATCAACAAATTTCCTCTCCTGCCTTGGCACATACAACTTCAGTTGCCAGACATATCAGATTGTGTAAGTACACGCAAGACATTTTGCATGATCATGCACAATATCTACAAGAAATTTGTAAATTCATTTGATGTTGAAATCCTTTGCCCAAAATTTTTAGCATTGAGGCATTCAGCAACCAAAGCCACCTGATGGACGACGACAGGAAGCGACTAGTCTTAACCCACTTCATCAAACCGTTCCTCTCCAGAAAAGATTTGCCAGGTAAAGACAAGCTCTCAGGTCATACATGGTAAACAACTGATTGCAATCCATTAAAACGAGAAAGTGTTCTGACCTCCTGATATTTTTGCAGACCCAGGCTGTGTGTCATCTGCCAATGGTAGTCAGCTCTGGCTACAGACCAATCTTGGAATTTTCTCTGATTTTGCAAGCATAGAGGATTTGCAAGCCCTTAACCCCAACTTCTCCAGCGTGAGTAGCTAGCGGCTTTGACTGGTTTTGTAAGGGCTCAAGACTTTTCTGCCCTGAAGTGTTACAAGAACTTCTACCTGAATCCTTTTCCTGTACTTTTGCAGGAGCAGGTCCTGTCAGAACTGTCTCCCTCCCAAGTAGCACAGTTACTGCAGAGCTCAGACATCAGAAATGACACAAAGTTAATCGATCGAGTCTTTGATCGACTGGAGAAGGGAGAAGCTGTTGAAAATGTGGATGAATTCTTTACACAGCTTACCAAGCAGGAGCAGGTAAGCTAACCAATCAAGTGGAAAAACAAGCCCCATTTTGAAAATTCAAATGCTTATATGTTTCATCCAAGTTATGATATAGAAAAGAATTGATAGAACTTTACCCTTTTTGCAACCTTTGAAAAATACTGTATGAGGACTTCTAATATAGCAACTTAGCGGTCTTTGATCTCTCTCATTTAATCATGTGTAAGGCCCCAGAGTTCCAAGCTGACGTGAGGGATCGCATCATGAACAGGACCTACATGATCATCAGTCCCTCTTTCCAATTGTTCACTGCTGTGGACTTTAAAGCTTGGTTCCAAGTCAAACTGGTCCCTGTCCTTGCAAGTTTCACTCCAGAAATGCTCCGAGGTGTAACTACCGGCATGAACTGCACAAACTATCGTATCATGTGAGTTGCATTTGAAGAACAACCAAGACTTGAATTCTCAAAAAAATAAAGAGTACTCTTAAGGAACGGTGTCTGAAAGATTTGTGCCAATCTTTGCAGTGTGAGAGGAATGGGGAAAGTTGTCACTGCCATACCTCAGCAAAGACTACAGGCAACCGTTGATGTTTTACTGAAATACCTAAAAGACTCTGCTGATGTCATCAACCAAAAAGGTAGGGCCGTCTTCAATACTCTGGTCACTTTGCCATAGCTTTGTAGAATGCAAAAAAAGCCTTAAAAGAGTTATTGAACAAAAAACAGACACATTTGAAGAAAAAAAATGTTCAAATATGCATACATGTTCCTCAGTTTGCAGACAAGGAATCGAGAGTGATGCCCAATGGATTGAAGAAAACCTGGGTCCATTTGGTCAATACGCAACATATTCTGAGCTGAAGTTCTTCAACCTGTCTCAGGTGAGTGAACAATCCTACTCCAGATGTTTGTCAAAAGCAACAGCAAAATCTCTACTTTGCGGCAGGTACACACACTGGCTGCTGTGACAAGCGGAATAGAAAAGAAATGAACATGTTCTTTTTCATTCTGTCATCAGGCAGCGCTTGTGGATGTTCTTTCCCCCGCTCAGAAAGCTGAGCTACTGACAGATCCAGAAAGTGGTGCTTTGGAAGATGCCTCCCTTGTGAGGGAGGTCCTTACAAACCTGACAGAGTCCGGGGATACAGAGCAGCTTAGTCAGTTTTTCCAAGAGTTCACAACGTCCCTGCAGAAGGTAAATGCCAAAGTCAAATTTCACCATTTCTCCCAAAGTATCTCCTTTTAAAATATCTTTGAAAGTAAATGCCATATAACTCCTGCTTTGGACTTATGCTGTGTGTTTCAAAGAGGTCAATTGTAAACTAAAAATCGTATGTTTCGAATGGCTGTCGCTAAATGATGGCCAAGAAATCTTTTGTCCTGGTTGTCATAAAACCTGAGTCTGAAGCTTTGCCACAGACCTTGCTGATAGTCTCTAGGATTTTATAAGAACCCTTGCTGAGCTACAAATGGGATTCTTTGCTTTGCAGAGAAACACCACCTTCATCCAAAATCAAGCTGTACGAGAGACCATCTTAAACCTGACTTTGAACAGCCTCGCTCCAACATTAGACTCCTTTGAAGCAGGAGACTACAAGCTGTGGTTCCAAGTCTATTTGCTCCCTGTAACAGCAAGCCTCCGCCCTGAGAGCCTTCGGGTGATACCTAGCAACATCAGCTGTGAATCCTACAAAGCTATGTAAGACATCAGCCTTAAGATAATAATTTGAATCTTCAGTTTTAATCCACAAACAAACCCTGGTTCCCTATCTGTCCCAATAATACCTTTTTTTTTCCATTCTTCTCAGTGTCACGGGTCTAAGAGAAAGCCTAAAATTCCTTCCACTGCCCATATCAATGAATGTGAGATCTAGCTTGGAATTCCTACAGAAGACCTTCCCAGGTATGCATTGAGAAGACTTTGCTGACATCTTTCCTCAGAAAAGCCTAGTACCACTGATGGCTTAAAATGCACATTGATACTATATCTGAATTCAATTGTCTTTTCAACAGGCTGTGCAAAACGTGATTCCTTGACGGTAAGCCCAAGTTCAAAGCTGTATTTCACAGAATACACACCCTACATCAGTTTCATTTCACAGACTAGATGGTGGCACATTACTTTTATAAGACAAGTGATAGCCAGATTGAATTATGTTGAGTGGTATTTGACACTAATCTCATGATTGTTGTTTGTTTGTCCACAGTGCAAAGAGACACATGTTGATGGTAAGTCTGCTGAATATCACTGGTTTATAAATTGAGAATAAAAAAAACAACAAATTTCTCAAAAACCCTTTTCTGATTCACAAATTTTACTGTTTTTCATAGAAATGCTCATCTGCTCTGGAGTGAACAGGTGAGAGGAGGACTGTCTTATCTGATACAAATACATCAAGTAAGTTTACAAAATGTAACCAAGGCTGAAATGCTATCACTGTTTTGCACAGCACTCAACTCCAGCAAACACTGCAAGATGACAATTCCACTTCAGGTGTATGCAATTTTACCATCATTGAACATGCCTGTACCACGGTAAGATGTTCATGTGCTAGCAGTAAATCCAAGGCAACATTTTGCCCTGGCTGTACTATATATTGGTAAAACCTCAGAAACTCAAAGCTTGCTTCATTTCTTCTTTAGCCATCACAACTCACAGCAGGCAACTTGGCCAGTCTCCTGAAATGCTCTGTAGAGAGCAACATGCCAGATAAGGTGGAAGTTTGGCAGCTTCTTTTCCAAAAAACTTCTCCCGTGCTCCGCCAGGCTCTGGGCATGTTCGCCACCATGGTATATCCAGTGGGATCATTTCAGAATACTATTGCCTTTTTAGTGTCATCTCTACATCCAACCAATTTTTGCTCAATTTTTAGGCCCCCAACACCATGAACTCAGCCTATTCCAATTCTCTTGATGCTCTGGGAGAGGTGGTGGTCAAAAACTTTACTCAGGATCAACTGAAGAGTGAGGATGCAATTAGAAGGGGGTTTCAGTTTGAGCTCCGTCCGTTCCTGGCCTCTCCATCAACAAATTTCCTCTCCTGCCTTGGCACATACAACTTCAGTTGCCAGACATATCAGATTGTGTAAGTACACGCAAGACATTTTGCATGATCATGCACAATATCTACAAGAAATTTGTAAATTCATTTGATGTTGAAATCCTTTGCCCAAAATTTTTAGCATTGAGGCATTCAGCAACCAAAGCCACCTGATGGACGACGACAGGAAGCGACTAGTCTTAACCCACTTCATCAAACCGTTCCTCTCCAGAAAAGATTTGCCAGGTAAAGACAAGCTCTCAGGTCATACATGGTAAACAACTGATTGCAATCCATTAAAACGAGAAAGTGTTCTGACCTCCTGATATTTTTGCAGACCCAGGCTGTGTGTCATCTGCCAATGGTAGTCAGCTCTGGCTACAGACCAATCTTGGAATTTTCTCTGATTTTGCAAGCATAGAGGATTTGCAAGCCCTTAACCCCAACTTCTCCAGCGTGAGTAGCTAGCGGCTTTGACTGGTTTTGTAAGGGCTCAAGACTTTTCTGCCCTGAAGTGTTACAAGAACTTCTACCTGAATCCTTTTCCTGTACTTTTGCAGGAGCAGGTCCTGTCAGAACTGTCTCCCTCCCAAGTAGCACAGTTACTGCAGAGCTCAGACATCAGAAATGACACAAAGTTAATCGATCGAGTCTTTGATCGACTGGAGAAGGGAGAAGCTGTTGAAAATGTGGATGAATTCTTTACACAGCTTACCAAGCAGGAGCAGGTAAGCTAACCAATCAAGTGGAAAAACAAGCCCCATTTTGAAAATTCAAATGCTTATATGTTTCATCCAAGTTATGATATAGAAAAGAATTGATAGAACTTTACCCTTTTTGCAACCTTTGAAAAATACTGTATGAGGACTTCTAATATAGCAACTTAGCGGTCTTTGATCTCTCTCATTTAATCATGTGTAAGGCCCCAGAGTTCCAAGCTGACGTGAGGGATCGCATCATGAACAGGACCTACATGATCATCAGTCCCTCTTTCCAATTGTTCACTGCTGTGGACTTTAAAGCTTGGTTCCAAGTCAAACTGGTCCCTGTCCTTGCAAGTTTCACTCCAGAAATGCTCCGAGGTGTAACTACCGGCATGAACTGCACAAACTATCGTATCATGTGAGTTGCATTTGAAGAACAACCAAGACTTGAATTCTCAAAAAAATAAAGAGTACTCTTAAGGAACGGTGTCTGAAAGATTTGTGCCAATCTTTGCAGTGTGAGAGGAATGGGGAAAGTTGTCACTGCCATACCTCAGCAAAGACTACAGGCAACCGTTGATGTTTTACTGAAATACCTAAAAGACTCTGCTGATGTCATCAACCAAAAAGGTAGGGCCGTCTTCAATACTCTGGTCACTTTGCCATAGCTTTGTAGAATGCAAAAAAAGCCTTAAAAGAGTTATTGAACAAAAAACAGACACATTTGAAGAAAAAAAATGTTCAAATATGCATACATGTTCCTCAGTTTGCAGACAAGGAATCGAGAGTGATGCCCAATGGATTGAAGAAAACCTGGGTCCATTTGGTCAATACGCAACATATTCTGAGCTGAAGTTCTTCAACCTGTCTCAAGTAAACTCCTGACTTGTGTTTCATAATTGCTGTAATATATTTGCAAATGTATCCAGAAAATAATTAGTTCACTTACAATCATCCCTCCAATATCTATATTAATTGCAGGTCGCTATCCTGGATTCGTTCTCTTCCGGACAAAAAGCTGAATTTCTTCTTGAACCTGACAACCTGTCCAATTCCAGTCTGGTTATTACTGTGTTGGAACGTTTTACTGCTTCAGCATCTCTGCAAGACCTTGAGTCTTTCTTTACTGTGTTTGCTGATGGATTATCAAAGGTAAATCCAATGAATCACACGGATATAGTGAGTTTTTTCTTTTTATTTAACATGTCTTGAATTGTTGTTTCATTGCCATTGTTTTTCTTTCAGCCAAACCAAACTGCAGTTAGTCCCAGTGTGCGGGACAGTATCCTAAATTTAACAATTACAGCCCTCGTGCCAAACTTCTACATGCTGAATTCTGATGGCATAGCAAAATGGTTCCAGGTGTATCTTCCTCTCTTCCTACCAAGTGCCAACTCAGCAACATTTGAAATCATTCCAAGAAACATTTCCTGCAGCTCCTATCAAAATATGTGAGTCAAACTTTAACCCAGTCCTCACAAATGTTTATTTTGAGTCGATGCAATCAACTGGTTTTCCTTAGATAGAAAACTTTGAATCAATTTGACTGGATGATCTGGTGAACTGTAAAGTGCCTTGAGAAGACATGTGTTGTGAATTGGCATTATATAAATAAACCGAATTGAAATTGAAATTTTTTAACCGCTTCATTGAGTTAATATAATTTGTTGTGTTTTCAGTGTGAAAGGTTTCGACAACATAATCATCCAGCTCTCTGAGGCACAGAGCCAACAAGTTCTAAGATTCGGATTGGACTATCTAAAGGTCCAGTTGTCCTCAGGTGAACTATATTTAATGACAGTGTAACTTCACATTGTCTGGTGTATATGAAAAGATGTTGTGCTTCATGTTCAGGGACATCTAAACATTTGATATCTTGATGCTTAGGATTTTCCTGTGTGAACTCTGGGGGTGACACTAACAACAGAGACTGGCTTGAGGAAAATTTTGGTCAGTTCCGTCTTCAGGCCTCTTTCAAGGATTTTCTGTCCTTAAAGAAAGACTTTAAAGGAGTAAGTACTGCATTTTAGACTCAGACTTACTATATATTTTGATTTTTCAAACATGTTTAAAACAAGGTGATGAGACAACCCCAAAGCCTTGCTTCTTGACCCCTACATAGATGCATGATTCTATGGGTAGATGAAGAGCATAAATAAATATTTTTTCTCATCGATATTATATAGGTTGGGCATTTATCATATTGTTGGTCGTTATTGTGATGTATTTCTTTTCACTAGAATATTTTAAATTTTATGTCACAGCAATAATTTATGAAAAGTTATGTTTAACCCCTAAAGCCCTGATGGTCTTAAGAGTTATTTCCGCCTGAAATTACATATGTGGATTAAAGCAAGTACATCTCCCAAACTATAAATTGGAAACACAATTGTTTGTATTTATATGACAAAAAGGCAGCGAGAATTTTTTTTTAAGTGGAACCACTTTTTTAAATGTCACCATGTTTGATTTAAAGGTGATTAAACAAAGAAAAAAAAATGAAAATATTTAGCTTCACCAATTTTTTTCCAAATAAACACACCATCTACACCATGAAACCCAATTTAAAACTCTGGATTTACCTTCAGACTTTATAGATCTTGACTATGACTCAAACAAATTTGGAATGAATAAGTTGAAGCATGTTAGTTCCACAAAGGTTTTAGTGAGCAGTGTGCTAGGTGGAAATGTGATTTTGGCACAGTGGGGTCAAAAGTGGCCAAATTGTGCCAAATGCATTTTTCCCATTCATAAAAGGGAATCTGAATGCAAAGCCTTTTCTCCAAGGATTTACTCGTTGTTTTATTGGAATTTAGCATTGAACACACAATAATATAACCTAACTGAATAGAAAATTAGACGAATTGTACAATTTTTGACACCAAACAGGGATATTTAATTTAAAAAGGATTAGGAATCCAAAACCTTTACAGAAATGTAAGAAGAAATTAGAATCAAAAGCTTCTGCCAAGAAAAAGTGCAAAAATATTTATTCAGACAAATTATTATGCAAATAAATGTGCTAAAAATGTTTCAATCTGAAGATACTTCTTCTTTTCTGGAGCATCATTGCTGTAAAAGCAATCAAATATATGTTGAAAAATATATTTCCTCTGCAAACAACAATAACACTGTAGTTACATCTGACAATGACTTCCAATCATAGTAGGAACAAAAATCTAAGGAAATTATGATACATCAGGAATAATATATGCATCTATTCAGATCTTTGCAGAATAGACATATCACCTTGAAAAGAATGATCTCAGCAGGGGACTTGGCCTGCTGTATTTGTGATGGTCATCTGGACTATAAAAATAAATAAAAGTAGTTATTACAACAAAGTAGATAATTACACACAATAAAAATGTATTGGCGAGATGTGGGTATTATAAAAGTTTCGTATAACTTTCCCTGAATCAATCTCGCATACAATAGACGGTTAGGGAGGAGAAATATATATACAGCAGCGTTTTACAAATACAGCTTCGGTGCTATTTTTCCTACTGTTTTTATTTTAATGTGAGCTCTTTTTCAAAAATAGCAGAGACATGCTGTAGATATTGTAGAGATACTACAAATAAAAAAATAAAGTCCATGCAACTCACTCATAAACCGGATCACGAAGCAGCAAGTCCTCATCTTCTTCCTCTTCACAATCCAGGCTGCTGCTGTCTGATGATTGCTCAATTTCACCTTCACTGGTCCAAGATTCCCTCCAAAGCTTCCAAATCGGCCACTTTCCTCTTCTGTGCCATCATGGTTTATTAAAATAAAATGATGCAGGGAAAAGTGAGCCGAAACGGGATCCACGGAGCAGAGCAAACTTGAAGCTGCCGTGCGTAAAGTGAACTGAGCACAATGCTTATATTCTGAGAGCTTTTTACGCACACAGTAAGCATATGTTACGCATGCCTTTAGCATCACCTGAAATAGTTAGTCGTTGGAAAGGTCTGACCCTCTAGTTTCCAATGATGCCGGCCATTAGGAGGCGTGGCTAAAAATGAATACGAGCTGTTGCATTATTCGGGCATAGTCAGACATGTCGGGTGGAATTCTATTTGTTTACACAGCTATAAAACAACAAATTATTTTTGTAAAAAAAAATTTTTGAAACATGTTTCAGAAAATTGAAAGCCCCATTTTGAAATGTGTGTGGATGAAACACCATGTGACTGTGTTTGGGCGATTTATATAAATACATAAACATGAACCGGTGTCAGTTGGGCCCTGTACCGGAGCCATCCGGCTAAGGGGTTAAAAAATATCTAAAATCTCAATATTTTGAAATAAATAGATAAATAAATTTGAGTCTATGTCTAAATCTATCTGCAGCAGAAGGAGAATAATCGCTTTCAGAACTTCAGTGGCTTCTATAACGAAAGGTCTGCTGCCAAACTGCAGCAAACAGTTCAGAACTCGGTTCTATGTTTCTAAACTGGTTCCTGTTTTTTTTTTTGTCTAGCCTGAGGTGGCGGATCTTCTCACCTTCAGTCAGCTAAAGGAACTTGCAGCAATCCCTTCACAGCTAAATGGAACACAAGATGTCACAAATATCATGAGCGTCATCCAGCCACCAGACTTTGCTGCTTTCTTTGATTCCCTCTCATCAGCGGTTAAGGTAAACAAAACCAACATCTTGGTCACTTCACAGTGATAAAACTATTTGTTTTTATGTAAATCTTGCTCTAAACGTATCGCTGCTAGTTTACTCCTGAACAAATGAATCCAGGTGCTTTTCAAGAGGCTTATAAACCGCAAGAATTATTAAAACAGACCAAGATATTCATATTCAGTCAATATTTGTTTTTGTTAATAATTTATAACAATAAGATGACGCCTTAAAAGCAGGAGCGGCAGGAGTTTTCCCTGGGTGGGCTATAAATTCAAAATAGACTTAAACCAAGAACCAATCAAACAGATACCAAGTTATCACACCAGTATATTTATATGAATACCAACAACAAAAAACATTATAAAAGCACTTTATAAAAACAAAACATAATTTCATGTACAGGTTTTTGTACATAAATTTTGCCCTTCTGAGGCTTTCTGAAGGTAACTCTGTGTTTTCTATTGTCCAATATCGTGTTACAGACCTAAAAAATTTCAGCTTTATATTATTTTAATATATAAAAACTATTTTCTGAGAATGCATGTATTTATGAGCAACTCTGCAAATGAACAAACATCTAGAACAAGTAGACTATTCTCTAATATTTTTCATGTGAATCCCAGATTATTGATTCTTCTTTGTCTTTTCTAAAAAGTGCTTTATCAATCATCAGGATCTGAGCCAGTATGGAGAAAGACAGCTAGGACTGATTTAAAGGAGGCAGTGAAAGCAGGATAAAGCTTTAGCCTCGCTGCATGCAGCTAGCCAAGCCTTGGAGCTAAACCAGGTCCTGGAAAAGGACGTTCCTTGCACCATTTCTCTCTCTGTCTCTCTCTCCAATGCGTCTTCACTCAACTCGACCTGTCAATCACACTTCCTGTCACCTCAGGTGGCAGCTTAGCCACGCCCCGAGCTCTCCTATACCTTTCTATTGCAGAGGAGCTGCTGGGAATGAACAACTTTTAACAAGAGTCAATGGGCAAAGATTCCTGCGCCCTAGGGCGGAAATACATCACCAATCCGACGAAAAATGAAATGACGCTTCACTAGTCATTTAAGATTAAATATTTATCTTGCACATCTAAAAAATATATATAAATATATTTCGAAATCTTTTACATTTTAACAAAAAATGTAATCATTGAAAATTATAAAAAAAATATATATTTGTCTTAATCAGAGTCATTGGGTGGGTGGAGCAGCGCCCTAGCGCCCTCTATTGGCCAGCTGCCACTGGTCAAATGTGATATTTTGGATCCAGTGTCCTTATCAGTCCTGCGATGGACTGGCAACCTGTCCAGTGTGTATATGGAGGATTTCTACTGCCAAAACCCAAGAGCACAACATTTCAATTTGTAAAAAGAATTTAATCTTCTTGTACTCAAAACTTGTAATGCTCAAACTCAAAACATATGCTTTCTTTTTGCAGTCTGCAAATAGAATTCATAAGATGCGTCGTAACCAGTAACAGTAAAGGGTAGCTCGTATTAATGCATGAATGTTGCCTCCTGTACACAATTTAATATAATACAATTAGCATATGTTGCATTTAGTACAAGCTAGATGTGAGAAATCCAATTAGCTTTTTACCTTCAGACAAGTAATTAAGTGACAATAATAAGATCGTAGCAAACAATTTCAACTCTTTAACACCATAAGAGCAGTTTACTCTTGATAATATCATATATTATATGGCGCTTTTTTTCTTACTTTTTAAGGGCCAGTAATGCAACTGTTTCTAAAGCCAAAAATATTAGCATGAAGATGTTTTTTTTCTCTAGTGAGTTAAATTACAGTTATAAGCATCTTGTTTGATTCTAGTACCTTTTTTGTTTTACCCTGATCAAATTTTCCACCAGGCCCAGCCTGCCAACTACACACAGGAGGTCAAATCTGCCTTCCTCCATGTGCTCTTTGAGAGAGGTGACCTTTCATCTGTCAGTGATAAAGACTTCCTGCAATGGCTGATGCGACTGGAGCCCTTGCTTGTTGATCTCTCTCCAAATTTGGTGAACCAAGTTTTTGGCTTTGCTGCAAACAGGAGTTGTACCATCAAACAAGAGATGTAAGAAAACAGTTTGCAAGAAAACAGTGATTGAATTGGTGAATTTTGTTTAAATATTGTCTACTTCATTAATTCAATGTGATTTATGCAGGATAAACATGCTTGACACAATACAGATAAGCAACAACACAAAAGCAGAGATCTACAAAAACATCCTCCTCCTCCTCCAAGGTTTGTCTATGAAAAGTCTGCACACCATATTAACAAAAAATTATTTGCTGCAAAGTTTGTTGTTTGTCTGACCCCATATATGGCAGTAAAAAACTATATTTTCTTTACAAAACAGATCCAGAGACCCTGAAGTGTTACGATGGTGGAAGTTTTTATCTCTTCCTGAAAAACAGCTTCCTCAGCTTTGGATTTCCAGACGTTTCAACATTCATATCTCTTCTGCCACCAAATCGCAAGTCAGAGGTAAAAGAAAAAAAATAGCAAAATTCCTTGGATTATAGGTGCAGATCGACTTAAGCATCAAGGCACTGAAATACAACAGAGGTTTAAAAAACAAACTAATTTTTCTGTTCTTAGCTCTTGAATACCATAAGCCCATCGGAGCTGCATCAGTTCCTCAGTCAGCCTGATGTCATCGACAATGGTTCAGACATCTGTGTCATCTTCAGCAACTACAACAACACCGCTGCCTTCCTACAAACGGTATGTCTTTCTGGTCAGTTAGTCTGTTGATACAGTAGTAGCCATTCAAAATGTCCCCTCTTTCCTTGATGGGTCCTTGGCTGGTCCCCTATAATTCCTTTTTTAACATCAATCTTCATACTAAAATATTCTTTCTGTCATAATTTGTGGACATTAAAGGGGTCATAGAATGAAAAACAGAGTTTCCATTGTCATAGATGAATAACGATAGTTCAGAGTACACCTCCTTTCTCTGCAAATCTCACAATTCACCATAAAACAGGCGAATCCAAATGAAGCACCGAGTTGATGTCAATTCGGGGATGTTGCCTTATTTGGTTCTGGCCTTTACTTTTTTCACGCCCCGGTGGGGGCGGGTATGAAGTGTTGGCTGCTGGGCCGCTGACTGGACCGGACCTCAGCCTCATTGAGCCGCCTGTCCTCAGCCGGAAGAGGGGGGCTGGGGGGAGGGTAAGGCAGGCGGGGGAGAAGCACGGGGCCAACGGGTCGGGTTCGGTTGCTTGGCCACCCGCTGGCTCCCTGCCCCCGTCCACCAGGGTTCCCGGACCAGCGCCAGAACTGACGACTCGATTCTGCTGCACTGCAGTCGACCAAAATCCCGGACAAATTTGAAATTCCCCCGGGACATTTTTTTTAAGTCTGAAAAGTAGGACATGTCCAGGAAAAAGAGGCCGTCTGGTCACCCTACCATATCAACAATCTGATGTTTCAGTGAGTGAGTGCTTGTTGCTATGATGCGTCTTTGCTCAGCAGCTTGGCTCGTTATAAACCAACCAATCAGAGCATAGCTAATCTAAATATTCATGATCAAACCATAAAAGGAAGTAACCTGTGGTTTCATTCTAGGGCTTTTAACCAGGCTGCATTAGGGCTCATAGAACAGCTAATATGCCATTTTCAGACCAACCAATGTTACACACCCTATTAGAGACCTGAAGGACCAGATACCCTATAGAATCATTCTATGACCCCCTTTAACATCTAAAGAGAAGCGCCATCTCCTGGTCAGACCCTGTAATTCAGTGAAAAAGTGGAGTCAGAGTAAAAAAATATGCACGCCCAGGAGAAGGCCAGCAGCTGGAAGTTACTTGCCATTCAGATGGCGTTTGACTGGGAAGAGCCATTTTGAATGGCTGCTACTGTTTGTGTTCTCTTCACTGAGTGATTAATGGCTACGGCTCCTGCAGGAGGACCTCCCAAATAGCGTGAGGAGGATCATCCTCCCCTGTGTGTGGCCTTTGGCTCTGAGCAGTAACAAAGGGTCTGAGGTTGATCTGTGGTTCGACGTACGGTTGAAAAACTACCTGAGCTTCCTCACCAAGGACCTTCTGAACTTCACTGTGGTGCAGAACGCCTCATGTCTCTCCTTCCAGAGACTGTAAGTCTGTTCCTTACGTGGTCAGATCCTGAACAAAGGGTCACATAAAACTAGATCTAAAATGTTTTCCTGCTCCCCAGGGTGTCTTTCATGGGAAACAACTTTACCTACAACAGTTCTGAGTTTGGTCGGGAAGATGTGTACCGCACCATCAGGAGCTACCTGAGAGCTGGTGAGCCTTTGGAGTAAAAGTGTGACATGGGATAAATATATGAAGCACTCTCTTAAATTGAATTCTTATGTTTCTAATTCATCGGTGTGTATGGATTTGAGATCAATCATTCAGAAATGTAAAGATGAATGACTCATCATCACATAAGACACTAAAAGTTACATTTTTTGTGTCATGGCATATTGACAAATGAAGAAGATCGAATTAGATTACTGGAATTTCCTCCAACATCAACAATCCTTGTTCTTCTACAGGATCTGGAGCCAGGTGCTACGATCCCAGAGACCCAGAGCTTAACTCCACCTCCTGGTTTTTCAACTACATCGGCAGCTTTGTGACATTCATCACGCTGGATGATCTCACCAGCTTTGTCTCCACCTCTCAGGTATTTTCTCATACAAACCTGAAACCTCTTGATAAACAATCAAAATGCAGGTTTTGGTCATTCCGGATCTTAAGGTTTAATTTAAATGTCCCATTTTACTTGTTTTTTTTTTTTTAAGCTGAATGTCTTCTTGGGCGACAAGGCTAATCTGGAGCTCTTTACCAACCCAGCTATCCCACAAAATGTGACAGATTACTACATCTTGCAGCTCTTTCAGTTCAACTCATCCTTCCAACTCATGATGTAATTATCCAGTGTTTTAATCAAATACATGTGTAACTGATTTTCTTTCACTTTACTGAGATCATTGAACATGCCACCTATCTTTCAGGCTTCCTGGAATTTGGTTGTGCTCCCCGGAAATCCCAAGCTCAGCATTTGCATCTCTAAATGAAGCAGAGACCATGGTCATCTTGGACAAGTTAAAGATATTCTGCAATGGATCAGAAAATCCTGAGGTACCAAATCAACCCTTTTTCATCCATTTTAAGATTTCTGTTGGTCTTACTGATACGGGAAAACAGAAATAACTGCAAATGTTATCTAGAGCAGTTTAAACCCTAGATGTTTAGCAGACGACTTCTGAGCTATGCTTTCGGACACTGGTGAAATTATTTTACAATAAAAAAAACCCTTCCTATAGATCTGGGTTCATATAAACCAAGACGTTTTTGTAGTATTGAGCAGAGCACCAAAGGATCCTTTATTAAATAGCAAACCAAAATGATCCATTATATTGATTTTAAAAGTACCACCAACATTAGTAGCCATTATAAAAATTTTCCCACTATCGTTGATGGGTCCTTTGCTGGTCCTGGGCTTGTCCTTGGCTCGTCCCCTACAATTACTTTTTAAACATCAATATTTGTACTAAAATATTCTTTCTGTCATGATTTGTGGACATTAAGATCTAAAGAGAAGCATCATCTCCTGGTCAGACCCTGTAATTCAGGGAAAGGGTGGAGACAGAGTAAAAACAAATGCACGCCCAGGAGAAGGCCAGTGGCTGGAAGTTGGAGGGGATTTTGCTGGGAGCTGCAGGGAAGTGGGCTGCCATCCGGCTGGCACTTGACTGGGAAGGGCAATTTTCATAAGCCGCTACTGTTTAGTTTCTGTAATATATGTCAATGTACGCTGGTTTGCTGCGAATAGAAATTTAGTTTGCTGCCATCACTGATGCCTGTTATTTTCAACAGAGATCCGCAGCTCTGGCATCCAACATCCAGAACATCACAGAGCAAACCTTCCAAGATCTAGGAAGTGCGTCTTCAGGCCTGACAACAACCCAGATCCTCTCAGTGTCCTCCACAGTCCTGGTTTCCTCTCTGTCCAGTCTGGGCTCAGTAGAGACGTGGGGACAGGACCAGGCCAACGTCATCGTCCAGTCCATCACCTCCATTGGCTTTCAGGTACAAGCCAGGTCTCTTTGTATCACTGTTACATCCATCAGTGTCAAAATACATCTTGGTTTTAATGAGTTTACATATGATTGACAGATAAACACCGCAGCCTCCCTGGTGTCCCTGGGAACTCTTATTGCTGGTGTTCCTTCAGAGTCAGTGGAGAAGATGTCGGCTTCTGAAGCCATCACTGCCTCCAAGAACCCAGCGATTGTTTCCAACATGCTGAAAGCCCCAAAGGTTGTCCAGCAGACCTTTGTCAGAAAGGTAAACATTTCTCAAAGTTAATCATGAAGCCTGTCTGAATTCATCCGCTGAGCATCATCGTGTGATTAAAAACGAAACAACTGCCACTTCGGCTGTAGTTAAGATCATGGAAAGAGTCTTCAAAATGACTTGGTCCTCCATTGTATATGTGCAGAAATACATATGAGAGATACACATACAAGGGGCATTCAATAAGTAATGCCCCTGAACCACTTTTAGTTGTTTGATCTAGCTGTGCAATTATCTTTATCTCTATAGATTAAGTGGCCAATTATAGCTCTAAACTAATTGTGGTTTCTGATTTACATCTGTTTGAAGTGAGTCAAGTCTGAAATTGAGCCTTTTGAGTGTCGAGTAGTGATCCCGGATTTGTATTTGAAAGGATGTACACCATGGGAGAACTTTGATTTAAAAAAAAAGTAGCTTATGGTGATGATCAATTAATCAATCAATTCCTTTACTGTAAACTAAGCACAAACCGTTCATCACATTCATCACATACATCTGGTTGGGGCTGGGGTTGGCCCTGGGAACTATTTACTCAGGCCATGCAATATGGCAGAACGCTGCCGTTAGCTCCATCTTATTGCTGCCAATGGCCCCACTATAATGCTGCCTTTATCTCTGTGGAAAGATAGGAGCCACATTGGGGAGGGAGAGAGGAAAAAAAGCATATTTAAAACTTTATCCTTGACAGGATACAGTTTGAGATATATAAAAAAAAAACCTCATCACAAAAAAAAAGGAAGCAAAGCAGAGATTCACATCGGAGGCTGTAGCCACATGAAAGTCAATCTCACATTTTGAGCATCAGTTGTGTTTGTAAGTTAAATGAGTTCTATTTGTCAATGAATGCTGTCCACAGGACATTGTCCTTGATAAGATGGAAGTTTATCAACCGGGCACTACAGTTCTGGATGCATTCACAGATGTTTGCGGGTAAGGGGGGGCAGAACTGGCAGGTCTGGGCCCTTTCGCCATAACATCCAGGGGAGGTTTGATAAGGAGAAGCCTAATCCGAAATAACACTTATTTTCTTGACAGCAGGCTGCACTGCTCGCCACTCAACAGGCTGCCATTTCCGATTTGACTCAGTTCAAACACCTGTAAATCAGAAACCACAATAAGTTGAGAGCTGTAATTAGACACTTAATCTATAGAGATAAAAAATAATTGCACATGCAAAATTTCTACGGATACGGATATTGGGATTTTGGCCGATATCCGATATGCCGATATTTTAAAACTCATGTAGCCGATAACCGATATCGATACCGATGTTAAAGCTGAACAAAAATAAGTAGTCATTGAAAATAGCAGTTTTGTTATTCATTTCTGACACTTTGAAAAATAATATACTCAAATATATTTTCATATGCTGATATCAAATAGATTTTTAAAAACGCCGTATCGATCTATTTCACTTTCAAAATCTCGTGAAATTTCATCGTTCTGTTACAAACTCTCGTGATATTTTGCAAATTCTTGTGAGATTTTGTTAGTAAAATAGATCGATACCGCTTCAATATATCAACATATAAAAATATGGCAACATTTCGTGAATTTTCGGGGGATTTCGTAGCATAACGATGACATATAGCAATATTTCATTAGTAAAAGAGATTTATATGGTGTTTTTAAATGGCAATATATCAGCATATGAAGATATTGGGATATTTTAATGTATCAATATTTTTTCCCTCGTCTTTAGAAGTTTTTAAGTCTGTAAAAAAGAAGTTTTTGAGGAAGAAGAAGAAGTAGTATTTTTATTTAATTTTTTTTTTAGACTTTACAAACTCGGAAGCTGATCAAATATCGGGTTAAATATCGGTGGGGTGGCCGATGTCCAATATTCAGTTTTAAGGCCGATACCGATAGGGGGCCGATTATATTGTGCATCCCTAAAAATTTCAGCTGGATCTAACATCTGGACGAGGAGCAGGGGCATTACTTATTGAACGGCCCTCTTATTTGGTCAAATAAGAAATCAATGTAGTTATAAATTCCCCCCATTGTCTTATAAGTGAATACATCTGATGCATTGGACTCTTCTTCTCATGCAGATCATTTCTGGGGTCTCCAGTCCATCTGAGGTGGTAAATAATGTCCCTGATTCTTTGGCAACTGAGATCCCTCCCACGATGCTGATATTCCCTGATGGGGCTGCAGACATCAGCGTGTTAAACAAGAAGACATGGACATCCGATCAGGTCAGTCCTGTGTCTTCTTCTATCGCAGAAGAAATAATAACGTGAAGCAGATTTATCCCGGCTGAGGTCAGCAGTAATAAGGATGCCAAAGAATAAGCTTTTGAAGCAGATGAAATATTAATATCCTGTTTAAATGAAGATAAATTTAAGATAGTTGTGTGATGTTCAAACAAGTCCGCAAGCAAAAGTAATTGTTTTCTAGATAAGAAAGCTGCTTTTGCCAAACACTCTGAACTATCCCACATAGTTGCAAAGAGATAATGCCCAAAACTTTCTCCATACTATGAGCAGCACTCATTTTTTTTAGCCTTTTTACCTTGAAGCCTTAACTTGATCATTCCACATTCTCTGTTCAACCAAACAGATCAATTTTCTCTAATATTTGACTGACTTGTGTCTTGTTCTTATAGTCCACCATATTCTTTCCGATCCTGGGTGACAAAGACCTCGATATTGAGCAGTAAGTGACCAAACCTAACAAGTTTTGTTAAGTTTCTCGTTTGCCTGAAAATGTACCTGTGATTTTAATTACTGAGCTTTTCCTTTTTTTCTAAAGGCTTTCTCGATATTTCCTGCAAGGCTTCACATGTGGCACAGTTAGTAAAATGAAAAGATCTCGAATCAGACAGTTGATTCGTGCATGTAGGCCAAGAAAAGGCAGAGATAAGGTGGAGCTGGAGGAACCACAGGTAAGTTCTGTAGAAACATTTCCAAGGCAGCCACTGTAAAAAATAAAATAAAAAAAAAACTGCTAATGAATCCCAAAACTATCGATAAACTCTGAACTGTAAATACAGTCCATTCATTTTATTCTAATATCAAATCTTTTTCCATTGGAACCTGTAGCTGACCTGCATGTACAACCTGCTGAGTGACAACATCTCCCAGAACTTCACAGATTATCCTTCAGACATGCTTCTCTACTTAAAGTGAGTCTAGAGTCACTTCATTACTGTTTCAGTTGTATTGCTAAAACAATTAATTGGATTAATTAATCATCAACTAATTTAGTAATCGACTAATCATTAATTGGAGTATAGAGACAGTTAAACATGCCTTTAGCTGACAGAGCGACCCACTTTGAGCAGGAATTATATCAAAATTGTAACAAAAATATATAAACATTTTACATTTGAGATAAAAAAAAAAATACAGATGTTTTTTTCTTTCAATATGCTCTATCCTACGACGGAGTATTAGAGCCAGGCTAGACATTTTTCTTTTTCTTCTATTTCGAGAATAAATTCGTAACATCATGAGAATAAAGTCCTAAAATTACGAGAAACAAGTCGTATTTTATGTCAACTCTTCCAAGAAGCCCTTTCTTCCCTAAAATGAGGAATGTGGAGCATCATGTGAAGTTCTACTTTAGCATCGGTTTGATAAATCAGGAAATCTTTTAGCAGCAGCATCAAACTGGGCAGGATGTCAAAGTGGACTCTGGTTGCTGATTGGTGGAGCTGCTTGGCTGTCATCTGCTGGGCGGAGCTCCAAGCTTTCTTTCTGAAACGGGTTGTTGAATGATGACTTTATTCTCGGAATAGAAAAAACAATAATCTCTAGCCTGGCCCTAATACTCTGTCGTACTATCCAGAATTCCTTAAGTGGAAAACTTTTATTTTCACCTGTTTTACTTTTGTCAAAAATCTTTTTCTATCCAATTATTATAAAAAAAAAAATCAACAGATGAATCGATTTGCTAAATAATATTTAGTTGCAGCCTGAGTCAATTGCTTAAAATAGTTCATATTTCTTCCCTTTAATATCTTACAACCAAACAGCACCAGAAACATCCAGAAAGGAAACTGCAGGTCCTACCTTTCGGCCCTGGGTGCTGCAGACTTCACTGTGGCCTCCAGCATCTTGAACAAAGGCTCAAAGAAGTTTAGTGAAGCTGGGACCTGCTTGGTGAGTAGCAGTAAAATTAATAATGAAGATAGAAAAAAACCATATGCCAATAGACATACCATAATATTCTAATTTATATTAGAAAATGTTAAACATATGCAGCTGATTAGAGCATTAAGTCATATTTTCCCTGACTAACTCCTTTCACTGCTTTAGGGGATCAGTGGGGCTGCCCTGAACAGAGACAACGTGGAGGTTCTGGGGAACATGGCCTGCAGCCTGGAAGGACCCGACATCGAGAACTCAGATCCTCTCATCCTGGAAAAACTTAAAGCCTGCAAAGACCTGTCTGACAGCCAAATGATGGCTGTGGAAGCGCAGCTGCTCAGTGGAAAATCACAATATGGGTACAAAAAAGTATTCTTTCATCTAGTCTGCATGGGGAAAATAATCACTGCTGAAGTCTATGATTTAGGGACTTTTTCTTAAGCTGTCCTGAGAAAGACCAGGTCTATGTTAGGACAACTTTTTGTTTTAAATAGCGGTTACTAAGGGAAATCAGGCCAGGTTCACATATGGAACCCAAAGGGCATTAAGATAGAGTGACCGATGTACGGAAACCTTATTCCTTTATCTGCTGGGCTCAAATCCCTTTGCTGCATGTTTCCCTGACCTGCATGCTGCATGTGGTAAAAAAAAAGAAAAAAACGTAAACAAAAAGTAATAATTAAAATGCAGGTCAGAGGGAAAGGTCACTCAGTTTTCCATTTCCATTTTAACCTGTTAGAGTCCATAAAAGTGTTTATTACTCAGTACAGCATACAGCTAGAATTACAACATTGTTCTGAACATATTTCTTCTGTTTGAGGAAAATCTTTACCTTTTGGAGTGATCCAGCCAGAGAGCCGATTTAAATGCAGTTCAATTAAATTCAGTTTATTTCTATAGCGCCAATTCACATCATGTCATCTCAGGTCACTTTCCAGTTCACCAGATCATCCAGTCAGATTGATTCAAAGTTTTCTATCTAAGGAAAACCAGCTGATTGCATCGACTCATTGACTCTTCAGCAATCCCTCACACTAAGCATGCTGGTAGCGACAGTGGAGAGGAAAAACCCCCTTTGAACAGGAAGAAACCTCCAGCAGAACCAGGCTCAGTGTGAGCGGCCATCTGCTGAGGCCCACTGGGGTTCAAGGAGACAGAAGCAGCGTAGAAAAAGAAGCATAGATACAAAAGGCAACTGTCAACCAGCTCCACAGGAACTGTCCAGGAAACACACAGCCAGGGAGGCGAGCTCCGAGCCAGCTCCCATGTCAGAGGATGAAGAGAGCACATCCAGTTAGTCACGGTCAGAGAAACAGGACTACACTGGAAAACAGGCCAAGCTCCAACATCTAGAAACAAAGGTGTTGATGGCAGCAGCACAGCTGATATTTCTCTCCAGGATGGAGTCACAGCCAAACAGGAACAGACCAGATGAAGCTACTATGAGAAAAAGCAGAGAGAGCAGAACGTTAGAGATTGAACTAACAGATTCTGCAGAGTGGGAGAATAGAGATAGAATGAAGCAGAATGATGAAAAAGGGGTCCCTATGTCCTCCAATCTGTTGAGGAAGCATCAGAACAGGGTTATGGCAAAGAGGCCTTCAAATCTCAAAGTAGAAACATCCAGAAAAGTGCTAAAAGATAAGAAAAGATTCTAAATGATGTGATGTAATAAGAATTTTTTCCTTTTTAATGGGATACAGACTCAAGAACGTTTAAAATCCAGTGTTTCTGTTAAATATGCCCATCGAACCATCTGGGTATGAAAAATTCTGAGCCCACGCACATATCAGAATACCACATTCTTTAAGAGACTCTTTAACCCAAGATGATTGTATTTAAAAAGATTTTCTTACCCAAATGTTATCCTGGACTTATCATGTGACACTGGAACCACATACATAAAATAATTATTTGCTTTTCTGTCCAAGTTTTTGTGGCTTAAATTATAAAAACTATTTGTTTTCCATTTTTAGAAATATCACCACCTGGACCAAGAAAACACTAGAGGACCTCGACATTCTTCCCCTGTACTTCTCAACAAACCTCTGGGGGCACTTAGACCGTGTATGTCTTCATATTACGCTGCTTTACTGTTACTGTGTCTTAAAAGTGTATTTAAAATTGTTATTATCAGAAAAGAGAGACCTGTATTTTCTTCACCGTCTGAAAAGATCAGGTTCCAAAGCATTTTTTCTGCGTATTTCAGGAAACAAAGAGAAGGTTCCTTAAAGGTTTCATGCCGAACTTGAGAAGAAGAAGAACTCAGAAGAGGAAGCTAAAGAGGCTGTTCAAACAGCTCAGTACTCGTTTGGCAAAGCGAGCAGCAGGTAAACAGTTTATATTCTATGAATACATTTGTCTTCAGACCCAGAGTTAAGTTTACCAACATTGTAATGACTTTACATGAATGTTTTATGTTACTTTGAGGTAATTTGTAAAACAAATATTTCCTTTTATTGCCAAACAAGCAGCAAACAGAAACCCCTCAATCTCCCTTATTTATTTTAAAAGGTTGTAATTCAGAGGAGATCACCCAGGTGACCATTAGCGACCCAGCGTTCCCCTTTGGCTATGATTCGATGCAGTTTGACCTCTGCCTGGACCTTTCTGTGCTGAAAGAAAACCTCTATGCTATCTGCCAGAAAGTGGATGATGATGAATTCCAGAAAATCATTCTGAGGAAGCTCAACCAGGTAACTTAGAGACAAGCAGCATGGTGTGCTTTCAGAAACCTTGGGACAAACTGACCCAGCAGCTATCATGACATGGTAGTCATTGCATTGGGTTGAAATACATAGATGTGAATTAAATTGTATTAAAATATCAAGACTTCAGTGTAAATGTAGCATGTTGCTGTTGTACAGTAACTTTATGATCTCTCCATTAACAGACTTACCCATCTGGAGTTCCTGATCAGGCAGTACAGCTGCTTGCCTCAGTATCTCGCATGGCAACACTTGACGACATCTCTGGGTGGAGCATCACTAAACTGGATACTCTGGCCGCTCTCCTGGAACCTGAAGATGGAAGCTGGGAGAAGGAGAAGGTGCAGCAGAAAGACTGGAAACACCTGAAAAACGTTCATTAGGCTGGTTCTAATCTGGTGCTTTTTCTTCATGTTAACTTCAGAGCCGAAAAATCATCACCAAGTACCTGGAAACATCTGGAAATTCACTGGGCAGCGCTGAGCTGGACGCAATAGGCTCCAACCTTTGCTCCTTGGAAAGCAGAACGCTACAGAACATCACAACAGACAGTCTGAGGTTGGTGTCTGCATGCATAGAAGTAACAAACAAGTTGTTTAGAGTTAAACCAAACACCCCTTTTTCCTTCCTTTTGCAGAAATGCCAGGCTTATAGATGTGTCATCATGTTCAGCTGAGCAGAAGAGAGTGCTCTATGAGATCAGCAACAGCTCCTACAGCGTTTATCGTGATAATCCCATTACCTTTTACAACCTGGTTAAAGGCTATCTAGGTGAGAAATCCTGCTAACTATCTAGTTATCCAACTGAAAACAGTTCAGTGAGATAACTCTCTTGCCGTTTCTCAATTCACAAGAACGCGAGTACGGACTCTTGTCCTCGCCAAGTATGTTATTGAGAAGAAGACAGCAAAATGTATGGAACACAGAAAAGAGAACTTTTAACTAGGGATGCACGATATAATCGGCCCCCTATCGGTATCGGCCTTAAAACTGAATATCGGACATCGGCCACCCCACCGATATTTAACCCGATATTTGATCAGCTTCTGAGTTTCTATAGTCTAAAAAAAATTAAAAATACTACTTCTACTTCTTCCTCAAAAACTTCTTTTTTACAGACTTAAAAACTTCTAAAGACGAGGGAAAAAATATTGATACATTAAAATATCCCAATATCTTCATATGCTGATATATTGCCATTTAAAAACACCATATCAATCTCTTTTACTAATGAAATATTGCTATATGTCATCGTTATGCTACGAAATCCCCCGAAAATTCATGAAATGTTGCCATATTTTTATATGTTGATATATTGACGCGGTATCGATCTATTTTACTAACAAAATCTCACAAGAATTTGCAAAATATCACGAGAGTTTGTAACAGAACGATGAAATTTCACGAGATTTTGAAAGTAAAATAGATCGATACCGCGTTTTTAAAAATCAATTTGATATCAGCACATGAAAATATATTTGAGTATATTATTTTTCAAAGTGTCAGAAATGGATAACAAAACTGCTATTTTCAATGACTACTTATTTTTGTCCAGCTTTAACATCGGTATCGATATCGGTTATCGGCTACATGAGTTTTAAAATATCGGCACATCGGATATCGGCCAAAACCCCAATATCGTGCATCCCTACTTTTAACTTAATACTTCAAACTCTGTGAGCTCGCTGATCTCTGTGACCTTGAAGCTGCTGCTGCCGCAGTGCATGCTGGGACAGCTGTCAGCCTCGAGAACGGACAAGTCTGCTCTGATGCATGCTGGGTAAAGAGGGAGGGGCGAGAACAACATCCGGGGACTTTGTCCGTTCTCGGTATTCTTGGTCTTATGAATTGGAACAGTAGTAGGGCTGAGGATGCTGATGTTTTTCGAGTACGCGAGCACATGAGAACACACAAGTAAACATATTGAGAAATGGCTTTTTATTCCATGTTGGCAGGTGGAGCACCGCAAGCAGATATTAGAGCATTATCAACACAGAACATCAGCATGAGTGTCAACACCTTCAGAAGTCTGGATGTCAATGTGATAACAGTAAGTTGGCATGTGATAACAGATAATGATTGTTTGCATGTGTGTAAGTTCAGAAGAGCTTAAAATATCTCTGGGTTTGGAAATCACATTTGGTTTTGGAGCAGAAAAGCAAAACAACTCTCCCCCTTGGTGTCCTTTTTTAACACAGAATGTAACTGTGAACGACGTCCGAGGGCTCATGGGTGAAAACCTGCCAGATCTGAAGCTGTTTGAGAATGAAACGGTGGTTAGAACCTGGGTGAACTTACAGCGACAGTCTGATCTTGACACACTGGGCGTGGGTCTAATCAGCACCAGAGTAGATGCGACCACAACAGGACCTGGCTCCAACGTGAATGGAAGCACCGCTGCATCACAAAACAGCACAACCGGCACCAACGTGACTCAGAATACTGCAAATGGAACTGTGACAGAAGGTACAAATAGAAATTTTACTCTTAAGGAATTTTTTTCTCTTATATGTTGATGGTAGGTTGTGATCTAAACTGTAGGCCATACTCGAATAGAACATAATTCAACTTAATTGTCATTACACTATGTTATGAAAGACTACCTCTCACTCTTGCACATTTTTCTTTCTTCTTGTTGCGAGAGGATAGGGGCCGCAAATAAATGGTACGAATTGGGACTAGAGGAAAGAGTGAATAGAAAACAAAAAACTGGCACCTGTAGGAACACACAGTGTGGTTTAGGCTTACCTTACATTTCCGAACAGAGTTCCTCAACCAGCTGACATCTGCTGAGGAAGGGAAAGACAAAAATCACCCCCAGGTGTACCACCAGCCCAGCTAAATGCTTGACCAGTGCCCTGTCCCCTCCATCTGTGAACCGTCAAAGGTGCCAAAAGAAACAACAACAAAAAAGCCATCAGGAGATGGAGATAAAACAGGAACATGTAACAACTATCACAAGTACAGAGCAAGAAAATTTACTTTACAGGTGTAGCCATTCTAAATTCCCCCCCTTTCCTTGATGGGCCCTTGGCTGGTCTCCTACAATTCCTTTTTAAAAATCAATATTTGTACTAAAATATTCTTTCTGTCATGATTTGTGGACATTAAGATCTAAAGTGAAAACGTCATCTCCTGGTCAAACCCTGTAATTCAGTGAAAGGGTGGAATCAGAGTAAAGAAATATGCAAGTGGGGGTCACTCCAGTGGCTGGAAGTTGGAGGGGATTTTGTTAGGAGTTGCAGGGAAGAGGGCTTCCATTCGGCTGGTGTTTGATTGGGAAGGGCTATTTTGAATGGCTGCTACCATAACCCAGTGGGAGCAGTGGACTGCCATTGTGCGGCACCAGGGGAGCAGTGTGGGGGTTAAGGGTCTTGCTCAGTGACCAAGAGTGGCAGTTCATGGGAGTGTAGCTTGAACTCAGAACCTCTGGGATCCAAGCGCAATGCCCCTAACCACTAGGCCGCCACTCCCCTAGCAACTCCCTCTAATGTGCTACTGGCCTCATTGGAGCCAAACCTGGTGCACTAGAAACATTTTTCCCCTTTTTTTCTGCAGCCTTTTAAACAGTAAAGATTGTTATTTCTGTATTGGAATTTTTTAGATTTCCAACCGTTGATGTTATACGAGCTTAAAAAACAATCATAAATCAAACTGATCGACTGAAAATGATCAAATAGATTCCCAGTTTGTGTAGCAATGGTTTGATAATGAATGGTTTGATAAAATGTCACAGGCCTTTTACTGAAGCCGTTTTCCTTTAGAATGTACATTTTTAAATCAAAATGCACTTGTCTAACTAAATGTATTTTTGTTAATAGGAAACACAAACAGCTCGAGTCCGGCCCCAGTTGGTACATCCACACCATCACAACGTAAGCTTCACTAACAGACAATTATTTAAAGTAGACTTTAAATTAGAAACTTTTACTCTAATTTGATTTTTTTTTTCTTTTCATTTCCAGCTGCAGCTACAAATGGTGTTCTAATGCCGACAAAATCCCCTGCATTGGTTCTCCTTGGAGTTTTGCTCACAGCTGCTCTACAAATACTTCTACAGCCGGCCTAAAGAGGCCCTGCTGCGGCAGCTATTCTTGGGTTTTTAAGCAAATGTTATCATATTATAGTTCTAATTACAACTGTAGCTGTATTATTTATGCACATGTAGAAAAAGAAAATTAATTTCCACTGTTTCATTTCTTTCAAATTGCTTCTTGCAATTAATATTTTACTAAAGAATCAATAATATGTTACTTTTTTTGGTGGGCAAAGTACAGAAATAATGCTTTTTAATAATAGAAATGTATCTTATTAATCAATATTCTTTAAAATATAATTATTTTATTCCTGTACCTTGAACAGAAATGCTAATATCTAAATAAATAAATGCAACTTAACATAAATGTTTTGCTTTTTGTCTTTTTATACCTGACATCCATCGCCCAAAATCTAAAGCAGACTTTGACTGTAAATCAACTGAAAAAAATCAAATAATACAAAAATATTTATGTACCAATATATAAAGGAGTGAACTTCAGAAAATTCTAAATTTATGTTTTGATAGCTTCCAAGAAAAACTGAACAGGAATCCTAAGCTACAGCTTGTAAAATGATAACCGATAGATGTAAAGTGTTATGAAAAATAATTTAAAAAGTGGAAAGAATTTGATAGTTCAGCCCCATGTAAGCAGGTCTCATCTGTGAGGAGGAGTACAGAAAAATTAGCATAAATAACATTTTTAATTTTGTTTTTTCTCCTGAATAAAAGGTAGAATTAATACTTGAATTTGTAATTATTTAAGGAAACACTTTCCACAAATGATTTCATCCTGTTAATTTTTTTAGCTCTTATATATTCCTAAATATTAGCTAGGTTATTCTTTTTTTAGGTTAAACTTTATCATTCTTCTACATTTATATTTTTTATTTAGGGTTCTAAGAGAACCTTTTTCTGAAATTATCCATTAAAGTTTGATTAGGAACCAATAATGGGTAAATTGTCAGCTTCACAACTGCTGTTATCATTATGTCAGCATTACTGCTTTTACAGCTAAGTCTGGAAATTCCCACAATAATAATTCTACATTGGATACAGAAAAGAAAGCAAAGAAGCAAACTAAGCATTCAAGCATCAATATGTTTTATGTTGTAAAATAAAATGGTATAGGTGCTATATAATATTTCGTATAATTCTTTTGAGTTCTTGTAGTTTGAATGTCCAAAAAGCAGCAAAAATCCAAAATAGCAAATACAGAAATCCAAAATCTAGGAAACATCAAAGAAAACACACACATGGAGCCAAGAAACAACAAGGAACCAGCAAACAGTGACTGACCATGAGGTGTATAAATGGGAGACCAGGCTAATGAGCAGATTGGGAGCAGGTGAGGGCAGAGGAGTCTAGAAGGGAGCTAAGAGAAGGAGACTGACCCCCAGATTCCACATACTCTGTCAGCGCTCCGCTCTGCCCCGCTGACGTACGTCGTGCGAAGCGCTTGTCTTTCATGGAAATCAATGAGAGCTGTTCCACATCCACCGCTACTCCTCCGCAGGTCTCCGTCCACGTACGTCTTCTCCGTCCGTCACCGACAAATTACGGAGCCGAGCTATTTTTTGCTCCGGTCCGGCCAGGTCAAGATCCGCAATTGCAATCGCACCAAACAGGAAAAAGAACATCGACAAATTCCGGTTCGTCAAATTAAAATATAACAGCAACAGATTGGTGACTAGAAATTATAGCACAATTCTTATATATATAAAAAAAAACTAACACCGTTTATTTAAATGATTGGATCCAAACTATTGGTTATTCACCAACGAGGAAGCAGATTTCTCATCTCCATTAAAATATTTATTTTATACCGAGGGACTTAAAGTTTAATTAAATCCATTCAAAAGAAGCTTCTTATTACAGGAATGAAAAGAGATGCTGAGTTGTAGAGAACAAGTTCATAAAAAAAAAAAAGCAGTTTTGAATTATCCTTATCCCCGTTACAAAAATCTACAAATATATATATATATATATATATATATATATATATATATATATATATATATTTGGGCAGAAACTGAACATATGCTGGATATGGTGGGATTTTTTTAATATGTCATATTAAATTAAGCGCTCACAGGGTTCATACAGGAATGACTGACTCTAATTTAATGCTATTTTAATGCTATTTGAAATGATTTTAATGCCATCAACAAGAACCATGTACACAAGTTATTAGTGTACATGAAATATGGAGCTGTAAGCACAGTTACATGACTCCTGTATGTATGTAAACACACACACACACACACACACACATATATACGTATATATATTCCCTAGATTTTTCTCCGCCTCGAGCTTCCTTTCCAAACATACGGCTTTATAAACAGTTCCACGCAAATTAATAGCGATATAATATATCTGACGAAATTGTTTTTAGAAACATTTTTATTAAAGAATCATAAATGCAACGATAAACATATTTAATTAATTTTAGTGCCAATTAAGGCCTTGATTAAAAAAAGAATTATGAATTGTAATTATTTTTAATGATCCGCGGAAACCCTGGTTCATCTGGCGCATGCCCTCTACGATCTCCAAGGAACTCAGAGCGGAGGGGACGGAGCCACAGCGGCGGCTGTAGGCTTTGCTTTGAGCAGGCGGTCTGGAGCGCAGCGGGGCGGAGCGCAGACGGAGTATGTGGGATTTCGGGGTGACACAAGAGGGCAACTGAGGGTAAACAAGGAATATATAAGAACTCCAAAATATAACCAAAAACAAATAGAATAACACAAAATAAAATTAAACCATAAACTAGAAAACATATAAACATGATTCCGTAAAAGTACGGAAGAGGATTAGGGCCACTGGAAAAAAAAGTTAACAGATTTTTTTTATTTTATTTCAGTATAGTATGGGGAAAAAGTCAGAATTCTGACTTTATGTCATGGTAAACTGAAATAAAATTTAAAAATCAGTTAACTTTTTTTTTTTTTCAGTGGCCCTAATCCTCTTCTGTAGTAAAAGGCCTAATACACACAAGGAATACAGTGGACAGGATGCTTGAACCCTTGCACACAGAAACAATGGAAATCAGAGGTAAGAGGAGATCCATGCACCAAGAAATCTTGGCAATAACATCTTTTTCCTATTTAGATAAACAAGCTCAGAGCACGCAACACAGATTTTTACACAGATTTCCAAGTGCATATCAGGCTATCATGCGCACACTCAGCGATTGGATGCAACCAGTTCAAATGCATTGGCTGTGGGAAAAGAAGGAAGGACATCATTATCATATTAGGAAAACGCGCGTTAAATACGCGCGTTGTCTGAGTCAGAACGCGTGTATTTAACGTGCGTTCTAACGGCGCTTGTTGGTTAAAGGTTAAAAAGCGGCGTAATCTCGGGAGAACGCGCGTTTTTTGCGGGTTAATTTCAATCTTAACGCGACAATTCAATGCGAAAAGTGACCTTCTTGGCTTGCCATACTTGGGAAAGCCAGAGCCAAAACACCACACACGCACACACACCAGCTAGATTTCAAAATAGCACTTGGTCGTGTACATACAAAGGTATAAATACTGCGCCATTTCAGGGTAAACTAGCTGTGAGATGTTAGCGCTGTATGGTATTATAAGACAGCTGTTGAATTTCGACTAGTCAATAAACCTTTTTCTCCTTCCGGAGGACAAATAAGGTGAATCATCTCCAGTGTTCTTTCTGTCTTAATGGGATTCTACCATTTTGAGCCCCAACAATAGTAAACTAGCTCGTGGGAAGTAAGAAATTAAGCGGAATTAAGCACTGAGCTGGATGCACAAAGTATACGTCCTTTTTTTTGTGAAATCCAATTTTTTTAAAGGACGCAATGATGTCACAACCAAGTGTGCTCTGTGTTTACGGAAGTAAACATGCATGGTAGTACTGGAGTGTGTGACCCCTGACGGACGTTAAGTAGTTTATGGGAATGCAAACATGTGGACCAGTCAATAGGTTCGGCAGGAGTACAATGAAACTGAAGTGAGTGCAGAATGAAATAGCTGGAGACAGGAGTTGCGCAACAATAATAATTGTTATTGGTAAGCAAAATAGAAAAAAATATAGAACATTTACAATTTCAATAACAATAAACCGGCAACAGGAAACAAAACAAATCCCCATTCCCTGAGCTCACTGTTTGTTTGTTTTAGTCGTTAGTCAAGGCCTTCTATAGTTCAGTTCTTTTCCTCTCCGTCAGTGTGAGTTGTTACCACTTTGTTAACACGTGAGGATGAGGATCTTCAGATGAGAGTTCGGTTCAGTTCTGGGTACAGGCTTGCATCCCCTTCCGGAGAACATCAGGTATCCAGGAATCCGATTCGCAGCTTTCGTAACCATCAGAAAAAACCTAGCCTGCACAACAATTATGGTATCATTGTATGCAGCTCAATATTTCTTCTCTCACACAGCTATAGCTTAAGTTTTTATCTTCTTTTTCCCATATTATGATTTAGAAATAATAACATTTTACATGCATGTTTTCCTTACTCACAGTATCTTTTGTTTTACATGAAAACTTTTATGAAATAACTTTTAACTCACAGAAAACAATTAAATGAATTTCTCCTTTTATCTGTTTGTTTTAGATTAACTGTGAAATTATGATAAATCATCTTAAACCAATTAAATGATTGATTTTTAACTCATCTTTCAGGTTTTGTTAATCATGACATGAAATGCAGTAATGTTTTCTCAGCATTACTTAGGATTTCTATAAACTCACAAAGTAAGTAATAATAATGTACATTTAACATGAAATAAACAGTAAGATTAACCAATAAACAGTAGAAAATAATCACAAAATGCTTCATTAAAGTTTTGAGAACTCAATTTTCACTTGATGAAACCACACATTAACCAGAATTAGCATTTCCAGTACTTTTAAACTATAACATTTCAACATTTCACGATTAGCATTAGCATGAGCTAATCTCAACATGGCACATATAGGGTTTCAACTCACCAAGTTGAGGTTTCAGCACCATAGGCGGATCTACTGGGGTGGCATAGGGTGGCAAATGCCACCCTAAATGACAGCCTTGCCACCCCTGCTGCCACCCCAGTTGGCGGTAGGGGTGGCGAGGCTTATAAATTATGGATCATTTGAGAATTACCGACCGCTAATTTCCATTGTCGGACTGCAGTGAATGCAGCACGAGATGACGCGAGAGCGACTGAGACTGATTGTTTTGAAAACCGAATGGGGCAAAGCGAGGGAGCCAGGGGTGATGGGGAGAGGAGAAACAGGTAAAAACTGATTAACTATCTATCGACAAATGAAATCATAATGAAAGCACAATGTTGCTAGCATAGCTGCAATGCTGATTTACAGATGATTAAAATCAGGTTGCAGAACGTTATTT